TCGGCAGGACAAATCTGAACAAGAACTCGAACAGCAAGTATAAAAATATAGGCACATCTAATCCAATCCTTATGGGATCAATTCCGACTTGGAAGGGAAGAAACTTAAGGTAGGCTGCATTGATGGTGGTACAGTAACAGAATAGCACCTATGATGAAACGCACAAATTTTGGACTTCGGCTTTCCATGTTGGCCTCGTTGCCTTCGTGCGTACAATGTGGATGCTGAGGTATCGCGACTGAGCGACGCTCGGAAAAGCATGACTGATCTAGTCGTCTTGGTGTGTGGAGGCTGACTGGGAATACAGCATCGACAAGCCGTTTTCGAAACGTCATTAGCTGTGACGGCATGGGTGTTATAGAACGAGCTCAAGTGGCTGACAGACCATCTTGTTACAACGGACAAAAAGCTTCTGGAACATCAAAAGGGAGCCTGGGGACTGCGCGGCGAAGCCAAAAAATCTCCACAACAACCCATCACAAGACATTGTCGGCTACTTTTCGAGCGAAGAACTCATTCGGTAAGCAGCGGGGGACACCCCAGGATTAGACCTAGACGTATCACTTCCGAGGCTTGGATCCCAGAGTCTCTCGGCCGAGAAATTTGCGTGGCTGAGCACCTTAACAGTACTACCTCATTTCCGTAACTCCATCAATCAGAGGACACTTGCTTGGACTTGACTTCTTCCACTGACTGGCCGGAGAAACAGAACTGACAACAATCTGTGGGCGTCACGTGCTGCAACGCCCCGCAATACGCCCGATTCACAAGCTTGCCTTTTATGGGGCTGGACAGACACAGCCCTGCCCTGTAAGACCGCATGTTTTCATGGTAACTGATGGAGTCTGTGTGAAGGATGGACAACGAACGGCACCAAAGGACCTTCGCCCAAATCATGCTGCACATACGCTGGGTGCCCGCCTGACCTTACCGAAGACCACCGAGTACCTACTATAGTAGTGCTGAGTGCTCTCAAATCACATGACGCCTTGGCCCCATCAGGCGACGCCAGATCGTCGCCTGTCAGCAACCTGCACCATTGTTCCGTCATGGTCGGCTCCGAAACTCCCTTTTCACAGCCACGCCACGGCGATCTGTTCCGCGAGAGGCGTTGATAACTCCCCGGGTGGAGTGTTTGCGGGGGAAGCTTGCCGATCTAGGGGCGGTCACCCCGATGCACCTTGCGCTCAGCCCTTTTCCAAAGGTACCAACAGACGATCTTCCATCAGTCACGCGTTGCTGCTTTCGGACCCATTATGCACACCTGGTCGGCCGAATAGTTGCTAGTCGTCCAGTCACCGGCCGGCGATGAGCCAACATCCACCGCAGGACACGTTGCTCCTTGGTGCGAGTCTCTTGCGATCTGCGATGCCTATCTTCCCAATGACGCGCATCCACTGCATGGAAGGACGCACAGAAGGTTGGAAGAAGCCAAGGCAACGCAAGAACAAAGACACGGCGTGGAAGCTAACCAGGCGCCACAGAAACCGCGGCGGGACGTTTAATCGACGCCTGTGAAGCTCTCCCGGCAAGGGCAGGGGTCGCTTTCCCGAACTGGGATGTTGTCAGCGCACTTGACGGGCGGTCGAGCGTGAAGCACTCCCCAGCACACCAGCTATTGATTTCGTCCAACGATAATTTGGGTCGCAAGGGGCCTCAGCCCATCGGCAAAGCAAAGCGAACGGAGCGATGCTCCCGCCCAAGAAGATAAGCAAGTTTGTCACAAACTCGAGACTTAGAGGTTGGGCTACTTTTGATATGCATAAGCACTGCAATACACTCGAGTGTAACGGCTACCGCCAGGCCGTGCAGCATGCCATCAACAGCATGACGACGACTCTATCCGAATCAATCATTCGGTAAACGGCCTGGACCTCGACAAAAGCACATACACCTGCCGAAAGCAGCACCGCAACCGGGCTGAGCATCTATACAGTACTATAGCCTGTCGGTGAGACAGTCCCGTGACCACTGTGCAGCATCACAATGGCTGTGCAGTGACAGGGAGGCGCAGTCCCGACGTCGGGGCGCTGGGCACTCATGCAGGCAGACCGCGCCAACGAACCACAAACCACCACAAACCACCACAAACCATTCGCAAGCACTCAGCACAGCACCGCCGAGTGTCCGTGCCGCACAATTGGCGGAACGAGCTCCGCGGGCCCCCGGTTCCGCTATCGACTGATGCCACCTGCGAACCAGCCATGGCCCATGGCTCCGTAGGGCCAGCAGGCCAGCAGGCCAGCATGGCGATTTTGAGGCCCTCCACTACCGTCTCCATGGCTCCCAGTGGATCAGCCAGCACTGCTTTTTCGCTTGTCGCCCCCCTGCGGCTTGAACCAAGCCTCAAGGGTTCTCGGGCGCCAATCGCTTCTCCCTTCCATCGCTTGTCGTGAGCCGCGTTGTGTTGCAGTACACAGCCTCCCCACTCCGCATCACAACGGTTCGCGAGAATCAAGGTACAATTTACTTAAGGGCCGCTGCGTCCCCCGCCCCCGGGACCGGTTGATAGTTACAACCCCACGCTCAGCTGCCCCGACTCCGAAGCCGAAAGATCGACACGACTCCGACTCGAGCCGTGCCTATTTGAAAACCAGACCAGACCACTTCAGACCAGACAACCCCAGCAAACTTCAGCCCTACAGCCTTCCCCCCCCCCATGCCCATGAACAGCTAGCTATACACAGCTTCTCTCCACAACAACAACAACCCAACCCCCAGTGCTCTGCACACACCTACCTCCATTGGTGTTATCATAGGAACTTCTGAAGCACTTGGAAAGCCGCATGCGGGGACATTCCCCGCCCAACAATTGACTCGGTCAAAGAACCCCCAACTCTTAAACCCTGCAGTCACCGATTCGCCTTTCCAAAACTATCTCAGTAGACCGCTGTCAGATTGCAGTCTACCGGTTAGGCCCTTCTCCCCACAGCCTTCCTCCACGAAACCCCCCCCCATCCGCAAACGTGGCGGTGTTTCTAGACTCCAGCATTGAACCTGAGTTGAACAACTCTTGTTATTGCGTGCTTCTCGGAAACGCAATTTGCTACTGTGATCACTACCTCAACGCCGCCACCGCCTTCGACGACTTTGTCGATTCGTCCATCATTGACCCGCCGTTCATACCAAGCGTTACGCCAGCCACGGCGGCGATACTTTCGCCAGAATGGAGCTCACCGCTGGCACCTGGTGTCATGGAATTCCCATCCGACCCCCCCTCGTACCCTTCAGTCACCCCGAGTCCAACAATGAGCCACCACCCTGCTGTCTTTTTCGGCATGCACCTCGGCGACTTCGACAACGCCACCACTATCAGCGATGAGGGCAGCAGCAGCTGCAGCTGGGACACGCCGGCGACGATGGCGACCGGCCTGGAACAACGATTTGCCTGCCGTTGGGGCGAATGCGGCAAGAGCTTCCCGCGACCTAGCGATCTCACGTGAATACCCCTTTTCCTGATGTATTTCCTTTGTCATTTTCTTGTCTCCGACTTTATATCAATACTGTTACCTACATTGCATCGTCAAGATGCAGCCCCATACTTCACTTTCAACTCTCCTCCACACGCGGGAACAGGCGACAGCCTATCTAACCGTTTCTATCTACATGACCTTCAAGATTTGTTGTCCTTCCATTTTCCAGCCTCCCTCGGCATAATTTTGAACCAGCCCGACTAACACGCGGAAAAGCAAGCACGAGCGGTACCACATCAAGGACTACCACTGTGACGAAGTCGACTGTTGCAAGGCCTTTGCGACGCACAAGGACCTGAAGCGCCACAAGAAGACGCACGAGAAGCTGGATGGCGGCGCGGCGGCGCAGGGCTACCGTTGTCGCGTACCCGGATGCCGAAAGGCCAAGACGGGCCACGTGTACAACCGTCGCGACAACTTTACGCGACACCTGCGAACGAAGCATGCAGACCTGGACTTTGATGTCAAGGAACTAGGGAGTGGCTGATGATTTTAGGAGTCTCCCTGATGCATCTTTCTTTTTTTTTTTCGTCCATTATTTATTTTTCTCTTTTGGTGTGATAGACTTTGATACCAGGACTGAGGCTTCACGTGAGCCGGGAAGGAACCTTTCCCATTGGTTTTTCCCTTGTTCTTCATATTTACTTTGGATGTATCGAGATGGACACTATAGATGGATACACTACGGGACGCACTCACGTGGCGACGGGAAACGAAGTAGCGTTGAGTCCTGTTGAGAATTGTTCGCTCATGACGCTGTCTGCACTCCGCAATATAATGGTTGACCACGCGTGAATGTCTCACGTGGTGTCTGTCTGTGTCTGATGGCTTCGGGTGGAATGACCATCACCTTGGGGTGTTCTCGCTTGGCGTTAGCTGGGAATGTGTCCTGTTCTTCCTTGTGTTAGGTAAGGTAAGCTTCAGAGAGTGTTCCTAAGATGGCAGGATCGTGAAGTTTGCCCGAACACGAGTGCCAGCAGCCCATCAGGCAGAGACTCCAAACTTCAAAGGTATATGTCGCCTCAATTTGATATGTACGCATTCGCATGAGTCCGATCGTCCGACTTTGAATATCATTCGCAGTGGCTGTGCTCGGGTGCTCGGGTGCTCGGGATGCCGCCTCGTAGGGCGATGACGTTACAGAGGGACTTGCTAGTCGCCGCTCAGGCACATGCAGGGACGTGGAAATGACCCCGCTGCTCCCGGCCAAGCTACAGGTCGCTAACAGGTTGAGACCCAAGCTCTCCCCCGCGATCGTCATCTTTTTTGTGTCTTCCCTAAAACATCACCACGTCCATCCGACACAACCACAGCTGGCATCTCACTATGGCGTCGGCATTCCTCCGAAGCAAGCAGACAGGCATGCAAAATGACCTGTCTGCTGCCATCTTGCCTGACCATTTTGCTCCCGACGAACAAGCACGATACGGCATCAACTCCCAGATCAGGTGAGCCGGCCCTTCGACGCGCGTCCTCGCAGAACCACCTGCCCTTCCCCAAGAACACCCCAAAACATCCCGAGATTGCGCTGACGACTCCTTCACTGCAGCTGCTTCGCGTACGAACCCATCCAGTCCCTTCTCGCCATTGCGACAAACGAGTCCCAATTCGGCCCCGGAAAGATCTTTGTCTTCGGCCACACGCGCGTCTCCAAGACGCTTGAACCGCCAAGACGCACATCCTTCCGAGCCCTCCGCTTCACCGCCAACCGACTTGTTGCCCTCGATGCCAAGAATGACCTGACCATCTGGGACCTTGATTCGGGTGAACGTGTCGCCGGCCAAGTCATCTCCGGCAATGTCGTCGCCCTCGTCACCGACCCCATGCTCGACTGGGCCTTCCTGGGGCTAGCGACTGGCGAAGTGCTGGCTTACGACCTCGATCGCGAGAGGATCTCCAACTCGTTTCGCTTGCCCAACTTTTGGCGCGAGCATGACCCGAGCGCCAGAGCCGTCGGCCTTGTTCGTCTGGCCCTGCACCCCACCGACATCGGCAAGCTCCTCATCGGCTACACGACCGGCGCTGTCATCTACTCCTTCAAGCAGAACATGCCGACCAAGTTCTTCGAGTATGTGCTGCAGCCCGGCGCTCCAGGCGGAGGCGGTGGAGCTATCAACTCGGTCCGCAAGCCACGGTTGACAGACGCTCTGTGGCACCCGTCAGGCACGTTTGTGTTGACAGCCCATGATGACGGGAGCATGGCCTTTTGGGACCCCAAGGACGGCAGGCTTCTGACGGCACGGACGCTTGAGCACCTCAAGGTTGATGAGGTTGCGAGCGGTAGCGCGCCTGCCACCTTTCATGAGACTTATGCGCGCATTGCTTGGTGCTGCAAGCAGAACCCCGACGACACGGGTTTGTTGATCGCAGGCGGTCAGCCCCCTGATGCCCCGGAAAAGGGGTTGACCTTCATCGACCTCGGCCCTACGCCGGCGTATGCCACGGCGTCGTGGCAGGTCTTGCAGGATCACTTCAAGGGTAGACGCCAAAGTGTCCTTGCCACTCCGCCCGGCGCCGAGGTCATCGACTTTCTGCTCTTCCCCCGCTCCTCTCCGCACTATGCCGGCTCGCATGACCCAATCGCCATCATGAGCCTCTTGACCTCTGGTGAACTCATCACCATGAGCTTCCCCTCTGGTTATCCAATCACGCCGACAAACCAACTCCATCCCTCCGTGTCTCTGGTTCATCCCTATGTTTCCCGCTTCGCCGTGCAGACTGTGGACCGCGGCCGCTGGCTCGGCATGACCGAGATCCGCAACCAAGGTGAACCATTACTCAAAGGTGGTGCCGAGGCGACGAAGCCATCGAGGAAGTATCAGGACCGCACCATCCTGCAGGTGGCGCACGGCGATGGTACCGTCAGGCTCTGGGACTCGGGCCACGGCGATGAGATTGAGAACCCAAAGGTGCTCCAGGTTGACGTGGCACGAGCCCTCGAGCGCGACAGCAACGTCAATGTGACAGCCATGAACATGGCCCCCAACACGGGCGAGTTCGCCGTCGGAACGAAGACGGGTGAGGTCGTCATCTACCGGTGGGGCGTCAACAGAGGCCACGGAAAAGACCAGCAGCAAAAGGTGGCCTCCAACCCGGGCGGTCTCACGGACATCGCCGCAAGGGCGGAACCGCCGCTGAAGGAGGGACTGCAACCGATGAGCCTCTACGAGATGATGCAGGGCCCCATCACAGCGCTGTGTGTCTCCGACGTCGGCTTTGTCGCTGCTGGCTCCGAGAATGGCTTCTTCAGCATCATTGACTTGCGGGGCCCCTCGATCATATTCCATGCCTCCATGACTGAGTTTGCGAAGCACGAAAAGCGATCTTCTTTCCTCAAGAGCTCTCACAGCGCGACTGGGCCCAAGGAGTGGCCTGTAGCGATTGAGTTTGGTGTGATGACGCTCGAAGGCGATAACTACTCGAGCATCTGTTGCTTCATGGGCACGAACCTAGGCCGGGTCGCGACTTTCAAGCTTCTCCCGGCCAACAGCGGCTACACGGCGCAACTGGCTGGCCTTCAACAATTCGACGGCAAAGTCGTCGCGCTGTGTCCGATTGTAGCCGAGACCGGAAAGCCTGCACTGGCAACGGGCGCTGTTGTTGCTGGCTTGCGTAGCGGCCAGCAGGTCAACGGCATGCTTGTGGCTGGTAAGTCCACTCTGGTACCCAATGTCTGGCGCTGCTAACCTTGCTAGTCACACAAACCGAAATCCGCATCTTCAAGCCCGCCACCGGCAAGGGCGCTTCGAAATCGTTCGACGACGCCCTTTGCGACGCTGCCAACGTGACCGAATACGAGCTCCGCGGCATGGCAATCGTGGGTGTGTTTGGCGACCGGACCACTCGCGCCTACACCATCCCAGGTCTCAAAGAGATCAATATCGTCCAGTTGCCCATGCTAGATGCCAGCCGCACCATCGGCGCCGCAGTCACCAAGACTGGCGACGTCTTCGGCTGGACGGGACCCAGCGAGCTCACGAAGCTTTCGGTCTGGGGCGCAGGCCAACCCTTACCCAGGAGCGCAGACGTCATGATCAACCCCCAGCTCACGGCACCAGTGAGACCAACCATCTCTAACATACAGTGGCTCTCTGGAACGCAGTACGTCAGTCCCACGGACCTCGACCTCCTCATCGCCCCAGACAGGCCGCCGAGCAAGCGCATGATGGCCGCCGCCGCCGCCGAGCAGCGCGCCGCGAAGGGGTGGCCGGCGCTGCCACGGGCGGCGCGGGTCCCAGCAACGAAGGATGGGGAGACTACCTCACACGACAGCTCAACGAGCGGACGGAGAAGCTCAACATTATGGGCGACAGCATGGACAACCTCCAGAACCAAAGTCAGGGATGGGCCGACGACGTGGGAAAGTTCGTGAACAAGCAAAAGAGGAACATGGTCACGGGGGCGCTGAAGAGCAAGTTCTTCTAAGCGGCACGGCCTCGCAGCGCGAGTAGATTGATATCCATGCATTGCAGGCGTTGGGTGCTACTGGTCTGGGTTTGCAATATCGGGAAGAACCTTTGCCGTCTGGGGCGTGTTTGGAGCCGTCTGGGTTTCCAGATTGGAACCACAGAAAACTTTACTCTGCCTCTTCGTCCACCCCGAAACTTTGGTTGGGTCAGCGTGGTGATGCTTGCTGACCGGTATGTCCAGCAAGGTTTCTCGTGCCTCTCGCAGCGGATTGAGTTCAGTCATCAAGGCCACTACGATCCTTATATAAAGCAGGTGATGGATGCCGTTTTCTACTTCATCTCCGGCCCCTCCCAGTACCATCGTCACTGCGTCATACTAGCCGTCGTATCAAACCCGCACAACTTCGTGATGAAGACCGCCATTTTTGCCGTGGCCGCTGCCACGCTTCTCGCCGGCAGCACCACCGCCGCTCCTGTCGCCACAGACCCGTTACCCCTCGTCTCCTTCAAGCCAAATGCTCCCTGCAACCTGCCCCGGGGAGAATTGGCAGCCTTTCAAGCCTGGCTCAACGACGTCCCCTTGACGGCTCAGCCGCCACAAGCCTGGATCGCCTGCAAGGAGAAGATTCAAAGCCGCAAGGGAGTCAAGTTTGACGGCCTCACCCCCGAGATTACCCGTCCGCGCCGTGGGAAGTTCGGACGAAAGGGCACCGTCCAGGACGACGGGTCCGTGAATCTGCACGTCGTCGGCACGATCGTCCAGGATCCCGCCGGCGGTGCCCCTAAGATCGGTCCCGTACCCGGGGGTCCCCGCTGCTATTCGCGAAGCGTCACAGGACGGATCAAACAGGTCGCCTGTGACCCGGAGCGGCACTCTGGACCCGAGCTGAAGATTTTCAAGTCCAAGTTCGTCATTCCCAAGCCACGGGGCTCCGTCGGGCATCATAAGGCATTCGTCCCCGAAGAGCCGGCGTACGATGCGCCCAGACAGAGTACCTGCCCGCAGGCGGCGTCTACGAACAGGACGCCATCGACACCGCACCCGAAGCATCCGGCCCGTACGCCCCCGCCCCGCCGAATTACGACCATGGCCCGCCACAAGACGATCAGTACGTCCCCGGTGCACAGTTCATGCCCGTCGCCGACGTGCCCGTGCGCAGCGTGCCCCAAGACTACTATCCCACAGCCCGCGACCCCCGCGCCTTCACCTACGAGAAGGTGGGCCAGATCGCGCAGCAGGACGTGCAGCTGCCGCCCGTCATCGAGCGGCGCGGCGCGCACCCCGCCGACACGGACGCCTTGTACGAGCTCGACCGCGGCAGCGCCAGACCTGTGCCGCACGATCTGCTTCGGCACAAGGACGAGAGCGAGGCGGCGGAGCCGCGCAACAGCATGGTGCGGGAGATGAGCACCGACGAGGAACCCGCCATGATGGACGAGGTGGCGCTCGCGCCCACGACGATGGGCGGCTTATTTGAGCCAATAGCCAAGCTTTTCAAGTATTTTAAGCGGCCCAAACTCCATGCTTCGGGGTGCAGCGTTTGGAAGCCGCGGTATGACACAAGCAAGCAATATGAGACCAAGCCGCCTTACAAGGAGGTCACGCCGGAGTTTAAGAAGGCGATGCAGGACAGCGATGAACGCGCGATCCTGAGGTGGAGGAACCTGTCCAAAGCAGACCTTGAGAAGATCAGGACCCGAAAACCGCCCAAGGTGGCGCCAGGAATGGCTGTTTCAGACGAGGTTGCTCTGCATCTCTAAAGTTGGCGAGCTTTGATGAGTATAGCAAACGTCGATATCAACAGTCCAGAATGTTCAGGTCCGGCTTCATCAGCTGAAAAGTTTTAAAAGTGAATTGCCCTCGGATTATCATTGTTGCAGTCACCTATTCATAAACTTACCTTCTATGATTTGCCTACCTTGAACCTGCCTGCAGGTTCAAAAAGAAACCAACCCGCAACTCTTATTCCCATGATGTCACTTACCTCTTATCGCCCTTTGCATTCGCCTCGTCGTCAGAGTCCTCTCCCACCACGAAGGGATTTGCGTTCCCATCTTCGTCCTCCCGTAGGGGCGGCAACCGCGCAGAGGGGCGCTCGCTTGGAGTTTCTTCCCAAAATGTCATCTGCAATCCTTCCCCCTGCTGCTCTGGATGCCAATCTTCTAGAACGGGAGATAAATGGTCAGTATTCGACGCGGGAACCGGTGCCCGAGTCACAGGGACTCTCGAATCAACCGCATTGTCACGTTTCGGTCTTGTGCCGCCGCGTGTGTCCCAGGGGAGAGCGGGCTCGCAGGTGCAGCAGCTGAGCTGGCGCTCCAGAGACTTGACTGTGCCCAGATATGTGAGATAGAACTCTCGCCATTCCTGGCGCTCCATGTCAAACGCCTTGCGCTCGCGTCGCCGCTTGCGTGCGCAGAGGAGGAGGATAATGCCACATGAAAATATGAGAACGAGTGATACGACGGAGATGACGATGGGGGCAGTTCGATTGTGGGGTTCATTGGTGGTGCCGGTCGCGCCAGCGTCGGTACGAGCCACGACTGAGGGTGCCATGAGGACTGATCTCTTAGGGCGACGTGTACTTCCGTATTGGTAGTGTGAAGTTTTTCAATATATATGAGTCCAGTCAGATGATGAGTACAAGTTTGGATCATTCAAGTTAGCTCTGCAACGCGAGCGATGGTGTCTCTTTTAAGCCTCACTGAGCATATTTCAGGTAGAGATTCGCGTTTCCAGTGCCTTGATACAAAGGCGTTGACGAGAGACACATGCTCTGTGGGTGGTTTGACAAAGCCTAGAATGAATGGGACACCAAGGACAAATTGTGTAAACAGACAGCATGGAACAGACCTAGTTCTTTCATGTCGGGAGGGGATCGCTTTGTTCGCTTCTGCGACCTAGTGTCAACCCCTGATTTACAACAGCCGTTATTGTCAGCACCACATGAGCATTTTATGTTTCAACGTCTTGCAGTACTGAAAATGAACCAAGGAGGGGGTGTCTTGCCTTGGGGAGGGGCAGCGACAGAAGATGGGGCGGTTGACCCAACCCCTAACATGATGTTGAAGGATCATGTCAGGCTCGACCGAAAGGGCAGTCCCGGGGCGAATGGTCCGGTCCATCGGATGCCGCTCCGATCAGACTGCCATGGGCGCCGCCAGAAGCGACGGCTGGGGTATGGAGGAGACCGGTCTGTAGCTGGCGGGCTTGGCTTTCGATCCGAGCTGGGCTAGGCTCCCAGCTCCCCAATGACACCATCCGATGACGACAAGGGGTGATACGATTTTGGTGATTGCCAGAACGGCCGGCGCAGTCGATGGCCCACGGAACCTGTTCAGACGAGGGTGCGGTGGCGGAGACATCGCCAATAACAGTTCACTGCCCTGCCATCCGTTGTCAGTACCCAGTTGGAAGATGGAGGATGCTTGGAAAAAGAAAGAATTGTCGCACCGAATCCAAGGGCAGTTGTCTTCACTGAGCGGCTTGTAAGGATCATCGGCCGTCGGAAGCGTGGTTGTTGAAGAAACCCAGAAATTGGCCCATGCTTGGAGTGAGCAGCTGTCCAACTGGGGGCAATCAGGGGGGGGGTGAAAGATGTTTGGGCGTGCAGGACTTGGATGTGTTTTCCTTGGAGTTGCTTCCTTCAGGTTCAGGTCGAGTACCTACTTGGAGGAAGCTCAGTCGCCATCTGGTAATGCAAGGCAAGGTAGCAAGGCAGCTTAGTAAACAGGTACCTGAAGGGATGCAAGAAGATGATCATGATCTGCGATGCCATTGCCTCTCATGTTCAGTTCCTGCCTCACTGTGCCTAGGGGTACCTACCGCAAGGAAAGCGTGCCCCTGTGCCCCTGTGCCCCTGCCTTGAGCAGCTGTGCCCCTGCCTTGAGCAGCTGTAATCGGCCCCCACCTCTCAAACAACGCCCCCCCCTCATTGCATCCATCAGTATCATTCAACATCCATCCATCTTGCTCGTGTCTTACGGCGGCTTGAGCCATTCTCAACATCAACGGCTAGAAGTCCAACCGTACTGTAATTTCTCGTCACTCTTCCGCTGAGCATTTTTCTCTCTTGAAGTCTATGCCTAAGGCACAACAAAAAACAACTGTCGTGGCTTCCTTGTGATGCAGGTTCGATCACAAACAGCCTTCCCCCGAACAGCAAGCACTGTTGCATCCCATCCACAGCATCATGGTGACCGAATCGTATCGCGAATGACACACCGTTGTCGAGTTCTCGCCGGCCCAATACAGGCCCGCGATGACCGGTGATCCCACTCGTCCGTCTTTCTTTACTTTCTTTCCCACCTCCCTTCCCCTTTTGACTACTGACAGCCGCGCATCCCTTTCAGCTGAGCAGTCCTCCCTCTCACTCGCGCAGATGCGACAGGAAGGGTGCCTATATCAGCCAGCCTGTGCACCTTGTTCCCATTGGAATGGCAAGCTTCCCCACCGCCACGGCTTCCCGAGATTGACCAAGATCTGGTTACATTGTATTTTCGGCAGCGAATCGCAACTAGTCTCCGCCAGCAAGGATTCGGGGTTTGGTGCGGTCGACAACAACCTGGGCGGACTACCCTGCCTCGTGCGTCCCAAAGGTGTGGAGGGAGTGGGACCCAAGCATCAAAATGAGAGCACCAAGGCAGATCCAAGCCGGCCAGTCCTGCCATTGCGTCCTACCGCCCAGGGTCCTGCGGGTATCGCGCCTACCACCTCTCAGCCAGCAATCTTCAATCCTACTGCAGGATTGGTGGTGGTGATCTAGCCTCCTAAAGCTGCAGCGGCTCAGTTCTCAGTTTTTGCGTGCTCAGAGGAGGAACGAAGAACCACACACCCGGGCATTGGCACACGTGTTTGGAACCTTGCTTGCTTTTCAGCATGGAGCTCAGCTGGTCCTCGGCGCGCCCCATGTCCCTTCAGTGAGAGCGTCATGACGGATGCCACCCTACAGCCATTGAGGTCCTGTCGTCTTGAATCGTATCCTTGCTTGACGCATATATCTGAACCCTTATTAAATGGTCAGTAGCACAGGAACCCCGAGTTTACGTACCAATTGTCTCCTGGGTCAGAGTCCATGAAGGTACTGGAGCTCTGTTGAGGAAAGATATAAGATCGGTTGCCCACAACGATCAGAGCATATTGTATGCCATCCTACTCTTCATTCAACTTGTATTCATCCTGAAACATTGGGAGCTCGTCGCCAAAGTTGGACATGACTGCTGCAACACCTGTTCAGTGCACCTCTGTCAAGAGCGCCAGCGAAGCTTGCAACGACCAACATATCGACATGTCGCTCGACGCCCACCACAGCAACTGTGATGAGTAAGTCTAAGATTGTCTGTCCGTTTCAGCCTTTGCAACTGTACCAAATTAACGTAATAGGATATGCTGTAGCCTCCTGAGCAATGGTACGGATGAAGAGGCGGCACAGCTCCAGATCGACAGAACTGCTCGTTTTCTCGATGACCTCGACACAAACCCAGTAGAACGCATACTTGCCGGTCTCCTTCCGTCAGACAGGCTCGTCTTGGGACAATGGTTTGGTGGAGCGGGCCCAGATACCCGGCACCCGCAGCGTCAGCGCGTCGGCAGGGTAGGGCTACCCGCCCGTTGCCGCAACTCAGCCAACCGCAAATCGCTCCGCAGAACCCATAAATGATAGGGGAACGAGGGAGGGGAGTGTCGATATCCGAGCTGGCAAGTCGGGCTAGAGGCCAATCGATATAAATGTGATGAGATCACTACATATTGAATCGTCACATATCATATTCAGAACATTGGTGCTACACAAGCCCATGCATCGTACCTAAGAATGCGTATCTGTTCACGATCTGCGTATCTCGCAAATCCTCCGTCTTGTGGCTTGAAGGTGTCCATTGTAGGAGGGTGACCAGGGGCTCATGTCCAACGATACGCGAAGCAAAGGACGTATCGGCGCTTTCATCCCAGCATCCGGCTTGCTCCACGCTTATACCCCTGTGCCCCTTGCTTCCCACACCGGTCGTGGGCGGGATAGCATAGCAAGTAAGGGCCAACCACGGATGCCAGGTCAGATCTCACGAGGCGATGTATATTCCCAGGCCGCCCGCATACCACTCGGTCGGTGTGGCTGGCATGCAGCGCTTATCTTGTTGTACCAGCTGAAGCCAAGACTCATCGGACTTTGGCCCAGGTCACGGGCTTCATCACGACACCTCCCACCAGGTATCGATATCGGCCGTCGCGACCGCGTGCCATGCGATTCTTTGCGGCATGGGTGGTCGAAGCTTGAAGAAAAAGGTCCTCCTGTTCGTCTCCGCATACCGCGGGCGATCCGGCCGGGTCCGCGATCAGGCTGGTAAGTGGTGTCATGTCTCTGGTCTCGGGTTTTCTAGACAGGCATTCGGAGCCACGTCAAAGCTCAGACGTCGTTTCTGCTCTTTTCTTTTTCCAAACATGATTACACAGGACACTTGGGCGTTTGCTACTCTGCCCCCGTTTTCTGTAAATTGGAAAAGCCTACCAAGAGTCGAAGGATCACGGGCAAGGGCACGGTGCGGAATGGCCGGAAACCCCAGCCGGCGCCGCTCGGAGTTTTCCTTCGCGTGACAGGGCATGGTATGAAATGCAGTCTTTGAGACTCTGTCACATGTTGGATCGGGCACCAGCAGGATTTCGCATCTTAGAATTGCTTCTTTACACGGAGGCAGCTGGGTTAGGTCGCCCATCTGCTTGACAGGGAATATTTGACACGCAACAGCTTGCGGGTAACACAGCATCCGAACGTCATGCTGGCTGCTGGGCCCGCTGTCGAGAACGTCTTTGATTTGTTGCTGCTGCTGGTGGTGGCACAATCGAAGTGGCCTGCTATTCCACGGATCTGCTCGGACACGGGGATCGGTCCTCTCGAGCTCAGAGCGGGTGCGCGGGCGTTGTGATCCCGCCCTTTCCGCCGAGTATTGAGCTTCTCGTCCTAGATCTTTGTTCGATTCCCTTCCATTGTTCATTCAAGACCAAAGTTTCATCTGCCTTCCTTTACCTTGTCGGTACGGGATGAAGGATTTGTAGCGAGATCTGGCCACAACCTGACATGAATCAGCGATGCATGGGGATACAATCATGCATCAACTCTGTGGGTAGCGATTCAGTATGCCTTGCAACATCGTCGAACAATCCGAACAAGGTACAAATCCGGCACTTTTTGCGAGGCTACGGCTTTCTCAGTCCTAGATCGGCAAAGAGTCGAAGGGCGAATGAAGTTTCCCCTGTTCCATGACGCCTTACATTCCAATCGTAGTCATCTAAAGGGCGATACTACTGTCTCTTACAAACTGCGAAATGGCGTATCTGAATGCCATGACAGGTAACGCTGAGAAGTGAGTCGAGCCACTTGACGCCCGTGAGAAGGACCTAGACCCTCTTTCTTTTTGTAATTTAGCATTCGTGTCTAGATAGGGGTTGATTCAAGCATAATCTCCTTTTGCTAAGACTGTGCAAGATGGGTCATGAAGGCTGCCTTGCCATGATGTGAGAAGACTTATATCAATGTCAACTGATGTCTGGCTTTGGATCCAGCCGATGCGTCTACCAAGCCCAGGAACGCTGAGCCCAAAGACGAGGCGGTGCTGTAGCATGGTTCTCTACCCTCGCATATTGTCGGTCTCGCTGACTTTTGAGGACCTGCGCGTGGCAGATTGATGAAAGCTGAGCTACAGTCTCTCTTCCGTTTGGGCGGCTATGACGAGCGCTGCTGCGGCAACGAAGGCCATATGACATATGAATGGCTCGGATGACATGGGCGGTGAGAAATCGATCCTTGCGAATTACGGCGAGAGGTAAGGTCTCTGGGACGATTACGAAGTTATGGTGGGCTTGGTATAGCGTTTTGAGTAAGTAGAACAGTAATGCTGCTATCCTGGCCAGGCTTGCCAACCGATGTAAATGGGATCCGGCGAGACACATAGCTGGATAATGTCAGCTTCTGAATCCAAGCCCTAGTATATCAAAACCAATGCCTCTGCATGTATACTGTGGTCGAATATAGCGAGCCTGTACTCTTCAGACCGTTGGGAACGCAATGTCTCTTTGCGGGGCACTCGGGGACCTGCTGCCACACGGTGTAGTCCCGAAGGACTGACGATAATGCACCTTTGTTGGCCTGACAGTTTCTGCATAAAATCCTCGGTTGACGAGAATCATGGGTCTGGCCGTTGGGCGGGCTGATGACAATGCTAGCGGACTTTGCTTGCCGGTGATGAGCATGGCCACTTTGACATCTCAGAGGCTGGCTATGAGAGGATTTCGACCTGGAGTGCCTCAATTGCCTTTTGTTCAGCCACTTCGATAAAGCCGTCAAGATTGGATCCCCAGAAGGTTGGACGTCTTGGAAAAAACCTCAATGGTCTCAAATGCGTCGCCCTACAGAGTACCCAGCAGCCCAAGGCTGCAACGACAAAACACAAGGCTTCCCTCGTCTGCTGAACGTGAACACACCCCATTATGCCTGATCCCAGCATGTAATATTTGCACCATTGATTTACGGCACCGACGTCGCCGAAAACGAAGCAGCAGACGCAGCATCCGCGCCCGCCGCCGAAGGCCGTCCATCGCCCAGCTTCCTATCCTTGTCAATCCAAGTATCGACGCCATCAGTATTCATAACCTCGCTGAGATCCAGGAACGCCAACACCTTGGTGAACTCGCGCACATAGCCCGCAGCCCGCTGCGACACGCTCTCGCCGAGCAACGAAGGACAGTTCAGCAGCGAGGTCGCGACGCCGCGAATCTTGTACGTGAGACTGTTTCCATTCGGCTCAAGATGGACACCGTCAACGTTGTGCAAGACATGGAGGAGCTGACGGCAAATGTCCTCGCGCTCGGCCCAGCTGGACGCGAGCTGATGCGCGGCCCAGGCCTCGTCGCCGCCGCCGGCCGCGTCCATGGCCTGCACGATGCCGTCGGTCTGGTCGAGCACGAAGCTCTGCAGCCAGAGGTGGGTGATGTGGATGTTGGCCCTCGTCGTCTCGGCCTGGGCACGGGAGATGCTGTTCGCGGGCGTCGAGGGGCCGCTGTCGTAGATGCTGCTGGGGCCCCATTGGGTCATGTGCGACGGCAGGGCGTCGAGGGAGTATTTGTAGCGCTGGAAGAGGGCCTTGAGGCGTGCGAGCTTCTCCTCGTTGGTGCGGCCGTAGCCGCAGTCGCAGCCTGCGTTGAAGAGGGAGTCGCGCAGAGCCTCGAGGAAAACACGCGTGTTGACGATGAAGGCCGTGACGGAGGTGAAGGGGCCGGTGCCGTCGGGGGCCAGCGGGCAGACGGCGTTTTCCGTAATGTTCTCGTCGGGCGTGTCGAGGGGCTCGAGGGCGGCGAAGTCGACGTCGCGCAGGACGTAGTTGTCGAGATATGTGACGTGGAAGCGGCGCCGGCCAGGCTGGACCTTGGAATGGGCGAAGGAAAAGAACTGCAGCCAGAAGGCTTTCTTGCGCAGCTGCGTTTCGATGCAGTTGAGGCCGTGGTACTCGGTCGCGTGTAGGTGGAAGCCGAGGAGTCTGGCGAGCTGCATGGCCTCCGAGTCAAACATGCGGTACTGGTTCATCCGGCCGACCTCGAAAGAGGCCGATGCTAGCGTGTATGAGATGGCCCATTTGCGGTGGCTGATCTCATCCCAGTAGTCGGGTGGTCGCACGCGAAGACACATCTGCGAGGCATATGTGATGATGGAGGTTCGTGTGGGAAAGCGAGCAGCGGCCTCAGGGTCCATGGCGCGGTAGTCTTCAATCCGCGAGCGCAGGACCCCTATCGTCAGAGTGAACAAGGCCACGAGGAGAAGCATTTGCTCCGTATCACGGACATCTTGATTGCTGGCAAGGCTGCGGCGGAACGAAGGGAGGTGGACCACGGGACAGAGGGGATAGACGCGCTCGATATAGTCATGGATGATGGCCATGAAGAGCTCCCTCGAGCAGAGCTCATCTGTGGCGTATGCAAATGTCGACAAAGACCCAGGCGATATGGACTGGCCGAGGGCTGATGTGTGGTCCGGCGTCAGCACGGCGCCAGCGTCGTCGTCAGTGTCTATCCCATCGACACTCGCACCGCTGTACACTGCGGTCCGTGGTGGATAATGGCATGGTATTTCGTTCTTTTGGCGGTCCAGGTCGAGGGTCAATCTCATACCTCCTCCGCTTTGGCCCACGAGGGCGCGTGGGAATGGCAAAGTTGCATCCGATTCCCAGCCTGGAACAGCCTATGCACCTCTTGCTGCCGTCTCCGCCGTCCTCCCCAGGGCCAAGGGGAAAGATGCATCGTCTCCTGCGGGCGCGACAGGCATCGCAGGCTCGTGCGGCCAGTCGCCGAGGCTCCACGGGCGCGCTCGCTCGACGTGGACTCGTAGTCGAGGCCTGCGCTTCCTGGTGAACATGTACGACTGCTTGCAGGTCTGGTAATGCGGGTGCCATACCCTCGTCTAGGGGGACTGGGGCTTGCAGATCCCAGGCGTACTACCTTAGTGGATGAGAAGACCCAAGATGAGGACAGGGAGAATCGGCAACATGCCGGCAGTGGGAGGGAGCTGAGAGGGAGAATTACTCTCTACCATGTACTGTACACAGTACACACACACCTCCACGTTCCCCGCCTCAGCCCCTGGCTCGCCCGGACCTGGCGTGTTCGTGGCTCATCCGG